GTATACTAATAGCTTTTAACATTAAAAAAAAAAAAAACCACAATAGATTTTTTAGATGAGAGATCCCACTGAGCTTAATTTTTTTTTTTTTTTTTTTAAGGAGAGGAAAGTTAGACATAAAAGGCAGAGTATGTGGCACAGGACGAAGCTACATGGTCCCACGACAGGAATAAAGAAGGCAGAGATTCACTGAGGGGGTAATTCATGGACATTTATGGTCACATTATTCTGATTGGCTGAGGGAATCAGTAGGCTTCTGGCCAGTTTTCCTTCTGTTCACAGAAATAAAATCTCAGTGTGTTTGAAAATGAACTAAGTTTTATTTTTCTCTTTTTTTCTTGACAGGAAGAATTTATTTCTGTAGTCAAGGCAGACTTGTTTCCGCTAAGTGAAAATTAGGCCTAAGTAGTATAATCATAAGCTAAATGTGCACTGGATAAAAATGTGTTTATTATGAGCTGATTTAGTTTGTTGATTTTCCTACATTTCCTACCTACTACCACAGAAGAGATCCGTGAATAAGAATACAACTGGCCTCGATGTTAAAAGTAGAGACCGCTAGTGAATCTGTATGCGATAGTGCACTGGGGGGTGGTTTCCCTGCTCGGGTTAAACCTTTGCCAACAGAGTGATCTTTCCAGATGTTGCCGTTGGGGAATTGTGGGAAATACAGAATTGCATGCTCTTCTTCAGACCTACTGAAGCAGAATATACATGTTCATAATATCACCCAGTGATTTATCTGCATATTAAGGTTTGGAAAGCACCGAGTTAGCATAATTATGGTCACACAATCTTAATGATTGCAATCTTTATCTCTATCCAATTCGCATGGGCAAGATTGTTAGAAGGGAGACTGAATATAAACAATAAAGTTTCTTGCTCAGTGCAGTGCAGGATTTCTTTAGCTCACAAAATTGCCATCTTAGTAAATAAATATTTATCCACCCTAGTAAAGCATGTGTTCAACAGAACAACAAAACAATGAGGTTTTGTACTTCCTTAGGGCGCTGACGATTTGATCATAAGGTCACTGATGCAAGTGTTTTGAAGGGGAAGCAGATTCAGCCCAGACTTCAGAAATGCGCTTTTGTCACTTAACACCTATGTGACTTTGGGTAAGTCACTCCACAGTTCTCCTCTGTCCAATGAGATGGGAACAGGACTTACTTCATGAGGCAGTTAAGAGGCTTAGATGAGCTAACAGGTATGAAAGAATTCACGAAGTTCCCCAGCACTATGCAGCATTAGTTATTATTATAAATGGTACTTTATTTTTGTTTGATCTAACCATTCTATCTCCTTAAATGATTCCTCCCAACATATTTTCATAGTTTAAGTAAAAATAAATTCGAAGAAAATTTTATAAAAGAATTTTGATAAACTCCATGGATACCTTGGAAATTCCAAGGGGATTTCAAAGCCAGAGTGGGAGAGGGGATTCCTGCTTCATGCCTTTCCTGGGTGTGAAGGTTGCTTAAAAAGTTTCAATTCCCTCTAGTTTACTATGATTAGTCAGGCTGACTCACTATTCTTGTTGCCTGGCTTAAAAATAACTCGGGGGGTGGGGGTGGGGGGGTTGGTAAGAGATCAACTGAAGGACTTGTGTGTATGCATATAAGCATAACCAATGGACACAAGACACTGGGGGGGGGGGGGTAGAGGAGGCCAGGAGAAGGTCAAGGGGGGGGGGGGGAAGGAGACATATGTAATTCTCTTTGTAATAACTTTAAGCAATAAAACAAAATTAAAAAAAAATAACTCTTAAGACACATGCTTGTGAAGGGCTATGGGGAGGTTTCTGATGGCAAAAACGCCTTTTCCAACCTTGGGTTGAGGGGACATTGACTACTCTCATGTTTCCCACCGGGCTCTTCCAGGTCTGTTTATAAGCAGTGTGCTTTGCCTAGTGGATGTTGAACAAACACTTGTCAAACTACAGGAAGTTGTGATATCTGGGAGAACATCTAACCACTGGAAAGTGTTCTGAGATGGAATGAGCCTCTTTGAGAGGCAGTGGGAGCCAGCACTGGCAGGAATCAAGCTAAGGCTGGTGCCTGGCTGGTGGGGCTGGTAGAACAGAGTCTGGCTTAAAGAGGGAGGTGTTGAGCTGGTGGCCCCAAAGGTGTCTCCCACCCCAGGATTCTGCAGCTGTAGGTCAGAGGCTATCAGAAGTGGGTCAGAATGGCTCAGATCTCATACCCGTGAGGGGCCTGCAATATAGATCCTTGCCCCGGCTGGTTTGGCTCAGTGTAGAGAGTGTTGGCCTGCGGACTGAAGGGTCCCAGGTTCGATTCCAATTGAGGGCACATGCCTGGGTTGAGGGGTGTGCAGGATGTAGCCGATCAATGATTCTCTCTCATCCTTGATGTGTCTATCTCTCCCTTTCCCTTCCTCTCTGAAACCAATATATATATATATATATATATATATATATATATATATATATATCCTCGACACTAGCCTCATGTGAGATTTTGCATTGAAGTTTTAAGCATTAAAAGCATCAATTTGCTAAATGGAAACACTTAAGGCATCCCACAGTTTTCATCAATCCATTTAATATTTGTGTTGATTTTTGTTTGGCTTTATTTAATGTACCAGAAGAACTTCAAAACCCAGATCTGCCCAGGTGGTGTGGCTCAGTGGTTGAGCATCGAAGTATGAACCAGGAGGCCATGGTTTAATTCCTGGTCAGGGCACGTGCTCAGGTTGCAGGCTCTATCTCCAGTGGAGGGTGTGCAGGAGGCAGCCAATCAATGATTCTCTCTTATCATTGATGTTTCTATCTCTCTCTCCCTTCCTCTCTGAAATTAACTAGAGATAGAGAGAGATAGAGATAGAGATAGAGATAGAGATAGAGATAGAGATAGAGATAGAGATAGAGATAGAGATAGAGATAGAGATAGAGATAGAGATAGAGATAGAGATAGAGATATGCCAGATCTGGCCCAAGTTCTCTGAGCCAGGCCTCTCTCAAGTTCTGGCAGGTCTTGCTCTAAATATATATTAATTTCTTGTTTCAGCTGTCTCCTCACTCCCTACTTCTGTTGGGCCCCTTCACCCTTCCACAAGAAATGCAGCCCAACCAAGCATATGGTGATTGTCCACAAAGAGAAGACCCTTCGAACAGGACATAACAAAGAACATTTCTTTGGGAAAACATTTTTATCATACAGGTCTTTCCTCCTGACCCCACATGGACATCACCTCCCTGACTCCTGCCTCACCCCATCACCCTTACCCCACCCATATGATCTGCACCCCCAATCTAAGTCTCTGAACCCCTTCTCGTGCGAGGTCATTCTGTTCAGTCCCAGCTGCTCCGTGCCCAGCTGATGTTCAGGAGAATCTTCTAGAGAACCATCCTTCCTAGAAGGGAGTATGTATATGGAAGGAGGGGTGCTCAGAAACTTAAAGCAATTTTAAGTTGTCTATCCAGTTGAGACAAATGAGTCTGCGGGAGGTTAAATATTTCTCATTATGGTATTGAACAATGCAGTTTGCATTTAGTTATTCATGAAATCATTGGGCCTGTCTGAATGACGGAGTCTTTTATGGAGAGAGAGAGACAGAGAGAGGGGTGGGGGGAGAAAGAGAGAGAGAGAATCTCCTTCTCACCTTCAGACCACACATGATCAGAGGCAACAAAAGATAATCATGAGAATGAAAAGCCTAATCTAATTATTCCTTTTTAGTTCTTTTCCAGAAAAAATTTTAAAATCCTGTTTTCTTTGTAGAGAAGAGAAGTTGATCGAGTGCAGGCAATGCTTACGCCCTATAATCTGGTGAAGGAGGAAAACAGTTCAGGAAAGGAAAAGGCACTGATGTTGGTAGGTATGGGCAGGGCCCACCTAAATTGTCACTTATAAGAGATGTTGGTGGTCCACGTGGCCTTGAGAGGACCATTTGCAAATTGCAAAAATAAGATAAAATAAACTTCTGAAATGTAAGGCCAACTTCATGGCAAATCATTATTGCTGAAAGGGCTGATGTTTACCAGTTGAGAAAATTGAGTCTGAGGGAAGTTAAACATTATGCAAAGCTTCTCCCAGCTGGTGAAGTAACTGACCTAGGGTTAAAAAGACAAGTGTCTATCCTTCTCACTATTCTGTATTAGTTGACTAAGGTTACCTTCTGTAGAAAACCACCTACTTCTCCCTTCTGTCCAAGTACTCTGTGCTCTAAACAAGCCTCCAACTCCCCTGCTCTCTCTCCTCCAACACCCATTCCACATTCTCTCCTTAGCTCTGCAGGAGTCCTCCCCTCTTCCCCATCCATCATCGGCCTTAAGCTGTCCCTCAGCCTGTTTTAATAGGAAAGGCTGATGTCATGGTAGAGGGCTCCCCTCCCCGCTCCCCCCGACCAAATCTCACTCTTCCAGCACTACATGGGCGTCAGAGACAATGACATCTTCTCTTGTTCTTACACGTCACCTCCCTTCTAGTCTCCTGGGAAGGGTCTGAGGCCCTGGTTTGTTGGTCTTTTCTCTGATGGTCATTTGGAGGCAGGAAGAAAGGCTAAAACAGAGAACAGGCTACTAGGCCTTAAGTCAACCTTTCCATAACTACTGCCCTTACCACTGGTGGTTCGGGAAACAATTTTTAGAGGTATACAGACAAATATTTTGTTTCAATAGTTCTGTATTTATTTTTATGGTTACTTTCTACTTTGGGTAAGGAATGTTGATTATCCATTTGCAGTTATAATGCAATAGTTTAACATAACCTTGGTTAGAAACAAAGTAAGTTTATTTAAAATATATCGATTAGTACCCAAGCTGGTGTGACTCAGTTGGGTGGGCTTAATCCTGCATCATTTCTTTAACCTTGTAAGAAATATGTTCTCTGGGAGATGAAAATGTCTCTGTGATCAGGGTCATGGATTCTCTGTCTATATCAAAGCACTTCCTCCTTTTTCTTTCTTTTCCCAAGAACCTAAATATATTTCTACTAGAGGCCCGGTGCATGAAAATTTATGCACTTGGGTGGGGGGGAGGGGATGTCCCTCAGCCCGGCCTGTGCCATCTTGCAGTCCAGGAGCTTTCAAGGGATGTCCACCTGCCGGCTTAGGCCTAATCTAACAATTCCTTTTTAGTTCTTTTCCAGAAAAAATTTTAAAATCCTGTTTTCTTTGTGGAGAAGCGAAGATGATGGAGTGCAGGCAATGCTTATGCCCTCTAATCTGGTGAAGGAGGAAAACAGTACAGGAAAGTAAAAGGCACTGATGTTGGTAGGTATGGGCAGGGCCCACCTAAATTGTCACTTAGATGTTGATAGTCCACGTGGCCTTGAGAAGACCATTTGCAAATTGCAAAAATAAGATAAAATAAACTTCTGAGGGGGATCATACCTAAGCTGGCAGTCAGATATCCCTCTTGCAGTCTGGGAGCCCTCAGGAGATATCTGACTAAGGGCTTAGCTGTTAGTTGCACATCCTTAGCGCTTCCACGGAGGTGGGAGAGGCTCCCACCACCGCTGCGCTGGCCAGCCATGAGCCGGCTGCTGGCTGAGTGGCGCTCCCCCTGTGGAAGTGCACTGACCACTGGGGATAGCTCCTGCGTTGAGTGTCTGCCCCTGGGGGTCAGTGTGCACCATAGCGACCAGTCCTTCTTGGCCATTCCACTGTTAGGGTCAATTTGCATATTACCCTTTTATTATATAGGATTAATTGATAGACATGAAATTATTCAGTTTCTTCCTTACTTGGCTGAGATGGTATCTAGCACCCTCTAGTGATAGAAAAATTCTTTAGTAGAAGGAATGTTCCTAGTTATTTTGCTATTTCCTGAGGCCTGGGTAGACAATTATCTTTACTTAAGGCTGAAATTGTAATAGTTAACTTGGTAACAGGACTTCTTATGCTGATCATAAGCTCTGGTGATATATAAATTAGGACTCTATTAGTTGTAAGAATCGGGGTTAAGCAAAAATTGAGACTGTATGGTGTTGGGTAACTGTGGGAGTCCAGGGTTTCAAGATGACAGCAGGACTCAGGTGGCACTGTCAGGCTCTGCCTCTCAGCACAGTTTCTCTTCAGCCTGGGCTGACTCTGTCCTCAGCGCTGGCAGGCCCACAAACTTTCTTCACAACCGCAGCAGTCCCACACTTCACATGGTCCCACTTCAGATCCAGTGGAGAAGGGATCAGGTCCTCCTGTTCCCAGCAAAAATCATGTTTACTCCCATCGAATGTGATGTGCTAGTTGCCTTAACCAAATGGAGTTTTCTGTCCTCCTCATGGTCCTCCCACCTTCATACACACAAAAGCCCTGCATTGGTGTCAATGCTCCTGTGGTGGCTGATCTGAATAGGCCACAGGACCCAAATACTCGGTACTGTTTTGGATGTTTCTGTGAAGGTATATATGTTCTTTTGGGATGGGGATTAATAATTAAATAAGAGCTCCCCTGAGAGAGAGGGAATTCAGCCAGCAGACTGACTTTGGACTCAAACTGCAACTCTTTCCTGAGTCTCCAGCCTGCCAGCCTACCTTGCAGTTTGGGACTTGCCAGGTTCCACGCTCACATAAGCCTGTTTTTTAAAATCCATCTGTCGATCTAAACATAATAGATACTTCTATATCTCTATCTCTATCTCTATCTCTATCTATTCTAATGGCCCTGTTTTTCTAAAACTGACTTCTACAAAGAGTTAAAAACAGGGAAGAGGGTCAATTTTCCCAAAGGCAACTTGGAAGTGCTATTACCAGGAAGAAGGGGAAAAGATGTAGGAAAAACAGTCATAGATGCTCATTACAGTTGAGAATGAACAAAGTCAACTTATTGCGGTAGCAATTTGGTTGACAAAAATTTTTTGAACATTAAGTCCATGGAGAGAAGGAACACACTTGGTGGTGAAAAGGTATTGAAGGTTTTCTTCCCTCAGCTTTTTACATATTTAGATACTTGTTTAAATGTTATTCAGAATGACGTGTGCAATGGCCAGGGTATCTTTAGAATAGAAGTGGGCTTTAACTTATGTGGCATGTTTTGAATACAATCAAGATGGTTGGGTCCAAAATATCTCCCACATCTGGTAGAATGCCTGAAATTCTACGATTAAAAAATGATTTGTTTATTTGTTCTTGAAGGATCAGCGGTCTTAGGAATGTATAATTAAAGTAAAAATTACCTTTGCCCTGGCTAGGTGGCTCCGTTGGTTGGGATGTCATCCTGTACACTAAAAAAAAAAAAAAAAAAAGGTTGGGGGTTTGATTCCCAGCCAGGGCACATACCTAGGTTGTGAGTTTGATCCTTGGTACATACATTGATATTTCTCTCTCTCTTCCTCTCTGAAATAAAAAAATACAAAAATAAATGAATAATAAATAAATAAATAAAGTAAAAATGGCCTTTAAAGATGTCCAAACTGGTTTCCCCAGAACACCAGCATCCATGAAGTGATCATTCACTAGGTCCTCTTCAAAGGACTCCACAAAGAAGACAAGGAAGTTTGGGGGGAAATTCATGTCATAGCCCCCTCTTAGATAGTCAAGATGCATATTAGCATATTAAGAGCTCTGAGAATTTTTGGATTAAGAGGCCCCTTTAAATTAAATTAACCCCAAATTTTCTAAAATCATTTGACCATGAAACATCCCCCCCCCCCAAAGCACTTGTTGAACTTGGGGGAACTAGGTGTGGAAAAGGGGGGTGGTTAGAAAGGTGAGGACCTCGGGAGCAAGAATATCAAAGTTTAATTCCTGGCTCAGCTGTTTACCAACTATCAAACTTTGCCAATGTTGCTTCAACTCTTTTGGCTACAATTCTTTATTTGTAAAGTAAGTTTACTATTCACTCACCTCACTGGGCTAAAATGATAAATATTAAGTACGAAAGAACCATTTTTTAAAGTTGCCGGCTCATAATTCACTCTAAAGAGATGTTGATTTTGTCAACTGTCTTCTCTCTTTCCTCTCTTCCCTTCCTTCTTATAATTTTTTTTATTTCAATGAACTTTTTATTTTATAAAAGCTTTAGATTTACAGGAAAGTTGCAGAGATAACACACCATCAGCCCTAGCCCCATTCCCTTCCTTTTATGTGTATTCTGTGCTGGGAACTGTAGAAACAGGACTGGCACAGCCATGGTCTTCCTCGCAGCTCTCACTAACCTCCCTGGAAGACGAGGCAGAGACAAGCACACCAACACCTACAAGACTGGTCACAAGTGCAGCTCAAAACATAAGTCATGACCTGGCTGGTGTGCCTCAGTGGATAGAGCATCGGCCTGGGAACTGAAGGGTCCTGGGCTCCATTTCAGTCAAGGGCACATGCCTGGGTTGTGGGCTTGATTCCCCAGTAGGGGGCGTACAGGAGGCAACCAATCAATGGTTCTCTCTCATCATTGATGTTTCCATCTCTCTCTCTCTCTCCCTCTCCCTTCCTCTCTGAAATCAATAAAAACATATTTTATAACAACCACAAAAAAACCCCACAAGTCATACAAACTTCCCCTCCTGCAAATTCTTGCCAACTACCAAAAAAGACAGATCTACTTTTCCAAAATAACTGAGAGGTGTTAACCCGAGCACCAAAGAATTACCCCCACCCCACCTCTTTTTTTCTTTTTTTTTTTTTTTTTTTTTTTTTTTAAGAAAATCGACCAGGAAATGAGTAATAAAGGAGGTGAGGGGAAGTAATTGTAAACCTTAAATACAGCCAGAGCTCGGGGATTTGTCAGGAGTAGGAAGTAAGCTTTGTTCTCCTTTTGAGAAGTAAAAGCCAAGGAGTCCTCCGCCCCTTGCAGAATACCCGCAGCACAACGCGTGAACCTTCTCGGTGGATCACGGTCGCTGCACACACTAGTCAGGACCCTGCGACCCCCCCTCTCGCGGCTGAGCGAGGGCGGGTGTTCTCAGCCACCAGCGAAGGCTCCCGGCCCGCGCAGGACTAGTGCGTTCAGAGCTCCCAGTCAGAGCTCAAGTCCTGCCCAGCCTTCCCAGTTAGAACTACTGAGGAGTTCCCATAGGACAGCAACTCGGGGTCCTCATCGGAGCGGGAGGAGGCAGGCGACTGCGGAAATGCCCCCTGAATGGGGAATGCCCATTTGTGCAATAAACCTCACTCTCTCCACCCCCCGCTCTGCGTCCCATCCCCCCACCCCCAGAGCAGGAGCTGAATCAATTTCGCTCTCCCCAGCCAGGAGTTCCCCGCAGGGCTTCCTCCCCTCCCCTCCCCCTGGCCCGGGGGGGGGGGGGGGGGTGCGTGTGCATTTCCTTTGGTCGCTTCAGGGACCATCGCGCACAGGTGCTCGGAGAACTCTGGAGAGAGAAGTAGGGAGCTGTGAGTCACCCCGCCCTAGGGCTGGGCCCCGGGAGAGGCCGGACGGGGCTGTCATTTCTCCCCGCGAGCGGTGACCCGCGCTGCCGGGACTTGGAGCAGCTCTTTTACTTCGTCGGATCGCTCCCCAGCTATGCCCCTGATCGGGGTTCTCCTGCTCCTGGTGAGTCCTCCCCGCCGGGGTGGGGCGGGCGCTGCGGCGCGGGGGAATGGGGGGGCGGAGGGCGGCCGCGCCCCGGGATGGCGATCCACAGCGCCCCCGGGGCTGCTAGGAAGCTCGGGAACTCGTTTTTCTTGGGGTTTGAGGAGGGGCAGACCGAGCAGCTCCGGGTGCCGGGACCTGGGGGGTCTGGGGGTCGCTTACCAGCGCAGCCACAGGTCCGCTCCGGGCGGCGGGAGTGCGCGCCCGGCGGTGGGGAACGCGGGCTGGAACTGACATCGCCGGTTTCCCCCCCAAAGTTAGGGAATAAGCCCGAGGCGGCGGTTGCACCTGAGGCTTCTGGCCGCACCGTTTCTTTTTGCAAAAGCTGCTGGCGCCTTGTTTACTCTCTTGTCACAGGCAGAAAAAGAAACTGTTTTTGTTTGCTTCCGGAAATGCCTCCTCTCCTTAGGACTGCAAGTCAGTCACTGTCTCTGTGTTGTTTTTTCCCTTCCTGCTTTTCATTTTCTCCTTGGAATCTTCCTTAGTGTGCACTCCCACGCGAGTTTGTGAACTCGGGGCTGGGGGATTCGCGGGCTCAGCGCTGTGCTGCCGGCTCGCGCCGCTCACGTGCCCTGGCGTCTGCACTTGGCCTGTTTTGGAATCCGCTTCTCAGCTTGCCGGTGGCTAATAGAATAATCATGGCCTCAGCAGGCTCAATGGCTCTCGAAGCCTCTGAAAACCAATGGATTCTTATTTTATTGGGTCCCACCGAAGTTCCAGGCACTGTGTTAGGAGTGTTAATAAACATGATCTCAATCAGTTCTCCCAGCAGCTGTGTAGCAAGGAGGATGTCCTCATGTCCGTTTTACAGATGGCAAAATGGGGTTTGGAAAGTTTTTCAACCAAGATCACACAGCTAATAGGTGACAAGGCCTGGATTTAATTTAATTCCAAAGTCCAGGGAGTTTGTTGATTGCACTCATTTCCAAAAAAAAACAAAAAACAAAAAAAAACCAAAAAATAAAAAACGTAAGTTGAAAGAAAATCAAACACAATAATGTCTAGCACCATCTTATGATTGGGAAAAAAAATTCTCCCTGATTGGAAAAATTAATTCTCCCTGGTTCCTTCAGAAATAAGGTGCAGCCCTGACCTGTTTGGCTCAGTGGATAGAGCATCGGCCTGCTGACTGAGGGGTCCTGGGTTCAATTCCGGTCAAGGGCATGTGCCTGGGTTGCAGGCACATCCCCAGTGGGAGGTGTGTAGAAGGCAGCTGATTGATGTTTCTCTCTCATCGATGTTTCTAGCTCTCTATCCCTCTCTCTTCCTCTCTGTAAAAAAATCAATAAAATATATTTTAAAAAATAAATAAATAAACACGGCCTTTATAATTATTCGTGTAAGTATATATTTTTGGGACACCCTTTATTTATAGGACTAGAGGCCCATTGCAGGAAGATTCCTGCAAGAATAGGGCTTCCTACGGCCGATTGCGCCACCAAGCCCCCCGCCCAAGGCCACACACGGCCAGGATGGTGGCTTGCACTGGCCCGCCCTGCCTGCCGTATGCAAAATTGCCGCCATCTTTGTTGGCGATTAATTTGCATGTTGCTCTGATTGGCTGATGGGCATAGCAAAGGTGCAGTCAATTAGCATCTTTGTCTTTTATTAGATAGGATATGTGGCCTAGAAAATTAAGATTTATTAAATATAATTTATAAATGCAGATGAGTAAAAAGAAAAAAAACTGACATAACCCTGTCACCTAGATAATCGTTGTTTACATTCTGTAGTCTGTCCTCCATTTCTCCCTCCTAGAGTGAATCTTTTAAATTTAGTTACACAGAGGCCTGCCTTGCACCCACACTTGCCTAATATCACACCTCTATTCTGAAGTTTCTTTTTTTTTTTTAATTGAACTTATTGGAGTGACATTGGTTAATAAAATTATATAGGTTTCACATGTATAATTCTATACTACCTCATCTGTATATTGTATTATGTGTTTACCACTCCAAATTCAGTCTCCTTCCATCACCATTTATCCCCTTTATGCCCTCTTTCACCTCCAACTACCTCTTTGTGTTCATCTTGTTTGGGACTCTGCACTTCCTGGACTTGTGTGTCTTTTTTCTTCACCAGGTTAGGGAAGTTTTTGGTCATTATTTCTTCAAATAGGTTCTCAATCCCTTGCACTCTCCCTCCACTTTTTTGAACTCTATTTCTGGTAATTGCTTACTTCCATTTCATTTAGCTCTTTTTCTGGAGGTTTCCTATTCTTTTATTTGGAGTTTATTTCTTTGTCTCCCCAGTTTGGCTGCCTCTTTATGTTTGTTTCTATGTATTAGATAGATCTGCTATATCTCTTAGCCTTTGTATAGTGGCCTTATGTAGTAGGTGTCCTGGGGGACCAGTGGCACGGTCTCCTTGATCGGTTGGGTTGGGCGCTCCAGGAATGTCCCTTGTTGGGTTATGTGGCCCCTCCTGTTGTAAATGAATCTTGATTGTTATTGCCCCATTCATGCACGAGGCCATCCCTCAGGCTGGGTGACTGTGAGGATTGACCCTGACTGCAGTGTACAAGCTGCTGTGCAGGTGCTGACCACAGGAGGCAGATTACACCTCAGCAGGGTCTGGTACCACTTTTGAAGCTAATTGGACCCTGCTCTGATGCTGTCTGAGGCTAGCCACTGATCAGTGTCAGGCCAGCAGTTTATCAGGTCCAAAGAGACCAAGATTTGGCCGTGTGAAGGGAGGGCTCTGCACCAGTCTGGCATGTGAGGGGGAAAATGGCTCTTGTCCTAGAGCCATGCAACTCAGTGTTTCCAGATTCTGTCAGGAGTTCAGTCTCAGCAGGGTGGGGACATAAGGAGTCAGGAGGATGGGGCTAGTGGATCTCCCAGGAGGGAGAGGTATCCGTCAGGCTTGGGGGATGGGGGGTAGTGGCTCCCACCCCTGAGTCACACGACTCAGTCTTGCCTGGATTCTGCCCAGATCTCAGCAGGGTGGAGCCACTAGCAGTCAGGAGGTTGCATTTGCCAGGATCCCCAAGCATGGTGACAGCAGATTTTTCATGGTGGGGAGGCATTGCTGGTCAGGTTCATGAGAAATTAGGGGGCATGTCCCCCATCCGAAAGCCACACAACATAGTCACTGACACCCCCTGAGTCTGCCTACACCCCAGCCCAGGCAGCTGACTGCTCAATAAGGCATAAGCTCCACAGGGAGGGACAGCAGGGAGTCCAGGGGAGGCTATTGCATTCCCCCAAGCTGATGCCATCTGCAGGGGAGTGCTCCACCCATGAAAGATGAGGTCTGTGGTATGGGAGAATGAGTCCACACAGGAATCCTGGTGGATGGTCCTTCAGCTCTCTCTTCAGAGTCACAAACCCCAGTCTCTTTCTCAAGTGACTCTAACCCACTCCACCAGATCCCAGGGTGAGTGGCTGTGAGTGAGATTTTGTGACCCTTTAGGAGGGTACCTGTGTCTCTAGCAGATTTTCATTTCTCCCTGGTGGGAAGAATCCCCACTGATATTCATAGTTTTGTGGGCGCCTGTTCTCAGCTCTGGTGCTCTAAGCTGGGGAGCTTGGTTTGGGGTTGAGATTCAACACTTTTCACTTTGTGGCTGAGGTATTCCCTCCGGCAAAGAGGGTGCTGTTTCTGAGTATATCTCTTTGGGACACTAGTAATTTCCTTCTAAATAGTTCTTATCATGGAAGTATCAATATTTTGAAGGAATCTCTCTGAAGGCCACAAGAATGCTTTAGGGCAGCTGGATCACTATAGAACAACTGTCATCAGTTGGAGAGAATAACTGTTTGCTAAGAAATGATCAAAAACCTGAATAAGGAAATCCCCCTCTTGAAAACCCCTTGTGAGTTAAATACCTTTTGGCAAATTATCTTGGGTTTCAAAAGTCCCTTAATGAGTCCCATGTTTTCTAATAGGTACTAAAGACTATTTACTTATGATTAAAAAAAATAATAAAAGTACATAATTTCAAATTTGATCCATAAGATGAAAAGCAAGTTAACCCAAATTAGGACAGTGACTCCATCTCTTTCTTCTTTTTTAAATAGGTAAATATAGAGACATTGACCATATGATGTAAAACAAAAAGTAATTCTTGAAAAAGAAAAGTCATTCATTATTTCACCACCTAATACAAGTGTTTTTTATTTCACTTACAGCCTCCCTGGCCTTGTATACACATGTACAAAATTGCATATGCATTCAGTGCTTTTTATAGCCTGCCTCTAATCAGTTTGTGTATTCATCAATCTTTTTCTATTTTTACATAATTTTCATATCATAATATTTATTGGATGCATTATAGAGAGAGCATTTATTAAATGACCTTACATTACTATAATTCTTATCACATTATTTTATTACTTATAATCCTAGATAATGAAGTGGCAATATGCAAATTGACCATCACACCCTCACAGTGGCAGCAGTAGGGGTGTGTTGGGGGCATCGCCTTCCCCTGATCACCCCTGAGGGCTCCTGGACTGTGAGGAGGCCGGGCTGAGGGACACACCACCCCCACCACCAGTGCATGAATTTTCATGCACCGGGCCTTTAGTTTACTATAAAGGAAACATTTTTTAAATGTACTGGGATATATATATATATATATATATATATATATACACACACACACACACACATATATGTATATATACATATATATTTATTATTACCAAAGCCATATATATATGTATGTATGTGTGTATGTGTGTGTGTGTGTGTGTGTATATATATATATAATTACCTAAAATTTATTTTAGAACTATTGTAAGTACCTTACAAAAGGTTTCTGGATCCAGTAGACTGTTTTTTCACATGAGTATAGATTTAGGCCTGTTAAAAAAACTGGCCCTTCACTGCCCCAGTCTCTGTTTTGTTTAGCCCATGTATTATTGATACATACATTATGTGTGTATTGTACTTTTTGTGCTGTGTGTGTGCATCCATTCACAAAAGTGGGAAAACAGCATTTAACTACCTCATAAGTTATAATCATTTCCTGGAAAACCCTGGCTTTAAAAAGAAAAATAAAGTGTTTTTAGCTTTTTATGTTGTTGGATTCCCAACACCAAGTAAGTATCTTTAATCCTTATTGTTTTTTACTTTTATTTTATTTTGATAAATTATTTTGTTAAATTTTTTGAAGTGAGAACATGAGTAGTAAAGCCCAAATTAGAAAGTTGATTGTTGTAAGATTGGTGACTCCATCTTCCATAAAAGGAAATGAACAAGATGTCCCCTTTGATCACAGCTCTGTTCTTGATTTGGAATGAACTTTGTGCAACCATGCCACTCCCACCTATGGCATTTAGAATCAGCATTCACAGCAATATTTGACAACTAGCACATGCTCCATTAAGTGGGTATGATAGTGAATTTAGTATGAAGTTATGCATTTTGAGCAAGGAAATCTTATAAACTTGCAAATCTTACTACAAATCCAACTGGTGGGTGTACTCAGCCCAGCAAAGTGAGCAAGCCTACTGCAGGTTTTGTTAAGCTGTGACTGGAATAAACTTGCATATTTACAATAAACTCAGCATTGGATTCATTAACAACAGGCTGTCCTTTCATTAAAACTTGCAGCATTATAGATTTACTCCCCTCTGTGTTCTGGGAGGCCATGAAAATATAAGATGTGAGAAAGGTCAATATTGATTTCTGAGGGCAAAGATCTTGGAGGTGGTGGGGGAGGGAGGAGAGAGAGGGGGAGAGAGAGAGAGAGAGAAAGAGAAAGAGAAAGAATGAATTTAGAGCAAGTGGGTTAAGGTTCTTGCCCCTGGCTGAAAATTGAACTTTGGTTTCTAGCCATCATCACAAGAGGTGTCTAGATCCTAGTACCATA